GAAGTTCTCCAGAGGCCTGGTAATGAACTAATCATGTGATTCAGGTGTGTTGACCCAGGGTGAGATCTAAAACCTACAGGACACCAGCCCTGGAGGCCAGGAGTTTGAGACCCCTGTGTTAGAGTAAGGGTTCATATGTAGTTGATCATTAAACCTTAGAGGAGGGGTGTCCAACTCCAGCCTTAAGAGCTACTGTCCTGCAGCTTTTAGATGCATCCTTGTGAATGAATGGCTTGTTACCAGGCCCTTGCCAAACTTGATGGCATGCTGAAGAGGTAATCCAATCATTTGATTCAGCTGTGTTGGAGTAGGGATGCATCTAAAAGCTGCAGGACCAAAGCTCTCGGGGACTGGAGTTGGACACCCCTTCCTTAGACTTTCCTTCTATTTTCAGAACCACACAGTCATTAACCTGTGATAATTATCCAGTGAATTCACAGCAGGCAGTTTACCTAAAATCAAACTGATTATATCCAAGAATAGAAAATATATGTCCGCTAGCATGTGTGTGATTAATGTTCACTTGTGAAAATGTAGCATTGTATGGTTTTCTTTCAACAGGTCTGATTTGGATTAGTTCATATTCTTGGATTTTGGCCACTGAAGATGCCAAAAAGCTGAATTATTCCATTAGTACAATGATATTGGCAGATGTGAACACTGTTGTGTTTGCATTCACTACAGCTCCATTATGTTCCCATCGTCACGCACACCCACCAACCGAGGGTGAACATATCTCAAAGGCTGCTGCAAAACACTGAGCTCTCTTGGGAGGAAATAAATTATTTTACCAGAAAAACAATTTCAATCTGTTCCAAACGTTATTCACTGAACCCTCCCTGAGTCTCCCTGAATATCACATCCATACTCCTGTAGGATCAAAGCACCAAACACAGAGAACACCAGGTGATCAGCAAAAGTACCCGGTGTATTATGTGTGATGCTCAATTCCTTCTCTAGCTCATAAAAGATGGAAGAAAGCAAAAAAATGAGGGCGCTAAAAGCGATGATGCGAACAAAAAATAATAATAAAAAAGGATGAAAGGCAGCAGCCAAAATGCTGTAAATAAAAGATGACAAATGTTACAAAATGCTATCCCTCAAAAACCAAACAAGGGAACCACACCAAGACTGACTCCACCTGCAAGCAGGCTGAATAGACAGTTTTCAAAGGTTGTCATTCAGCTTGTTGAATGTCAGGAATAGACTCAAAAGAACAACGAATGAATACAAGAGGCAGGAGGAGCTGCAGGTGCACTACCGATAAGAGCTTTAACACTGAACACATGTTCAATATCCAATTTTTGGATCTTGCTCTCTTTAGAAGTATTGCCTTTCTTTTTATGTTTTCTTTTACTCACTGCTTTTACTTTGTATTTTACACTCTCAGTTAGACTTTAGGGACAAATATTGC